CATCTTCATCAACATATTCCTCGATTAACTCATCTGGTTTTAGCTCTGTTTTTTCGGGCACTTCCTCTAGAGGTTTTAATTCCTCTACCAATGGTGCTTCTTCTTCCTTTGGCTGCATAACACCTTTGTCCTCAGGAACGAACTCGAGGTACACTGGTTGAGCAGACTCAAATATTGGCTTGCCCTTATCTGGATGCTCCGGTGGTGCTGTTGGTTTTGGTTCGTCAAATTGTGGCTTCTTTTCGACCGGTTGTTCATCTGTTCCTTCAGCTAGAACTCCATGTTGGGTTACAGTTCTCGTTGTTGTGGTAACTATTCTCTTGGTAACTCTCCTGACTACCCTTCCTTCATCATCCACATACTCTTCATATTCTTCCTGGGGTTGTACATTTTCCATTTCTTTCGGTTCAATTGGAACATTAAAACTATCAAGTTGACTTTTCTTTACCGTTTCAATACTGAATGGACTTGGAGCCTCGGGTTCTGATTCCTGAACGTCAACAGGTTTGCCCCGTTTGTCGAGCACAAATTGATTTGTTACAACAGTCTTCTTAACGATCCTTCTTACATTTTTGCCATTCTCATCCACGTATTCTTCTACTTCGGAATCTGGGGRTATTTCCATACCTTCTACTTTCGCTGGAGGGGGGATCTCAAAGCTACCAAGTTGATATTTCGAAACGGGCGTAACACTGAATTGTGGAGCTTCAAAAKTTGTAGATTCAGGCATTTCAGGCTCTGAAACCTCAACACGACGTCCATATTTGTCAATGATATATCGCTTTGTGATTGTTGTTCTCTTCACTATTCGCTTGACGACGTTTCCTTTCTCATCAACATACTCTTCAATCTCTCCCTCTTTTTCAGCTGGGCCTCCCACTGCACCCTCCGAAAGCTCGGTAGGTTCTTCAATAGGGTACTCTTCCTGTGGTAATACATATTTCTTTGTCACAACAGTTCGTTTGACAATTCGCCTAACTTTGCGTCCCTGATCGTCAATATACTCTTCATATTCAGTATCAGGGGGTAATTCTTCTTTCGGAGACAACGAAACTTCAAATCCTTCTAACTTGCTTATTTTAACTGGGGTGACCTTAAAAGGTTGCTGTTCTTGTGGTTTTGTTTCGACTGGTTTTTCAGCCTCCTCACCGGCCTGGTAATAAAACAGGGTATAAGTTGTACTACCTATAAAGTGAGTTAACAATATCACAATGAAAACGCAAGTGATTAAATCAACCTGTTAGTACACAATTGAACCGACAAATAACGACATTTCGAAGGTAAAAGTGGCTCTGAAACATCTTTGCGACGCTTTCTTTGTTTTCTTTCGAATAAATCTGCGTTCCATGAGCCTTGGAATGACCATACAAGCAAATAAACCAAATTCAGTCCATATGCATATTGACAATCAAGTTATGCGTTCGAAAGTCATTAAGGCGCCTCTTTTATCTTGCAGTTGAAAAA